AAATAGGCTACACGTAAGAAGCAGCAAGTGTTAATCTAGTCAAGTTTTGCTACAATAATGCTGTGTAACAAACAGCCCCAGGATCTTGACATCTGGAAAATCACCAATTGTTTTTCTGCTAATGATCTACAGCCAGTGCAGAGGCTTCACCTGGGACTAGGGGTCGGGCTCTGTTTGCTCCGTGTATCTTTCCCTTCTGGGACAGTAGCTTCCTGGAGTTTGTTTTTTCTTGGTGCAGGGGCTTGCAGCAGGCTTCCCCTGACCACACATTCACTTAGAGCTGTGGATGGAATTGTGGGCCAGTAGTTTATCCACACACGGGCCATAGTACACAGAGACCAAAGTTGTTTCTCTGCTTCACAGTGGTTGACAGCCAAGCCTCTACATTCATCCCCTCTGTCGCACTCTATTTTGGGTCTTGATTGGAAGTACATAAGCCCCACACTGCTGTGATTGAGTCCCTGAATGCTTAGGTACTCTGCAAATGTCCTTAGTGAAGAGTTTTTGCACCCTGATAAATCTCTCTGCCAACGCAATAATACAAATCAGACCAGATCAAACTGAATTAGAAAAAGCCCAGGTTTAATGGATACTTATGCTCCCGGATGACTTTCCAGCCCCCACAGAGAGGAGCCAGGGAAGAAAGACCAGAAAACCATGTGTTAGTTCTCAGGGTTGCTGCTTAAATACCCTGTGGGAGTGGTCTTGAGGGGCCATAGTTTGGTGGGCTTTCTCAGGGGTGGAGTCTGAACTGAGGCAACTCCCTGGGGAGGAGGCTTGGGATGAAACTTCCACCTGAACATTCCAGACTCTGGATATATGAAGCCAGGGGCTGGGGTGTGGCTTCCACTCAAACACTTAGTGCAATACTGCAGGAGCCAGCTCAGGAGAAGACCATTTCCCACAGTTCCTCAGTCCCTGAGGGTGGGGCCCTGGGTGAATAAACAGTGGGGTTCATCAGCCACTTAACTGTTTGGAACCAGACCTCCTGATGAGGCTGGCTTCTGAGCCTGGGAGAGGCCTCTGGCCTTCAGTTTTTCTGCTTCTTCTTCTTCTTCTTCTTCTTCTTCTTCTTCTTCTTCTTCTTCTTCTCCTCCTCCTCCTCCTCCTCCTCCTCCTCCTCCTCCTTCTTCTTTCTCTTCTTCCTCCTTCTCCTTTTTTAACTCTGGTTAACTCTTTTGAAAGCATCAGAAAGAGTCAGGTGAGATGGGTATGCAGCCCAGGAATGCACTTCCCACCTTCCTTTTAAAGTCAGAGTCTCAAGCCACCTACTATGGCCTTAAACTCATGATAAAGGCAAAAATGACATTGAACTTCTGTAATAAAACACCGTGATCAAGGCAAGTTACAGAAGAAGAGGTTTGTTTGGGTTTAGGGTGCCAGAGGGATAAGCTAGTCATGGCAGAAAGTGGCAGCCATGGTGGCAGGAACTGGATGTTGAGGGCTTACATCTTGATCTCCAAACACAAAGCAGAGAGAGTCAACTGGAGACAGCACCAGTTTTTAAACTCTCAAAGGCCGCCTCCAGTGACATACTTCCTCCAGCAAGGCCACACTTCCTTAACTCTCCCCTAAACAGCACCGGCAACTGGGGACCATTTCAAATACACGAGCTTACGGGGAACATTCTCTTTCAAACCCCACAACTTCTGGTCCTTCTGCCTTCACCCCTGCATCCTGGAATCACAGGCACTGTCACCTTATCCACTTCAGTGGTGCCGGAAATGGAGCCAGGGCCTCCTGCATGCTAGGCAAGTGCTGTGACAACCAAACCACCTCTCAATTAAACCAGCTTTGTGCCTAGAAGATGTCCGCAGAGGTGCATACCATGACTCCCTGGCTGTGTGCTCTGACCCTGAGAATGCAGTCTTCACCACAGAGGGGAAGCTGGTGCCATGCCTTCTGAATTCCAGAGTACAACACCAGAGTAGCAGAAACCGTTCCCATACTCCTGCCTCTGAGCCTTTGCACATGCTCTTCCTTATCAGGCATGCCCTAGTGCCCAAATGCCAAGGAATTCTACCTGCCCTCCCACTGAGCCTCCCTCCTCTAGCCCTGCCCACCCTGCCAGCCCAACAAGCAGTCAGTCAACCTTTTCCTCACGCCCCTGAGCATGCTTTGTTCCTCGCATGGCTGAGCTTTTGGATGGCAGGTGCCCTTTGAATCTCTAAAGATGCCTTTTAGCCAAAAGCAATTTATTGACTCTTGGAACTGTGAAGATCAGGGGTGTGACTTGATTGCAAGATATTCTCTCACTCTTTTTCCTTTGTCTCTCTCTTCCCTCTCTCCTCTCATCTCTCTATTTATCGCTCTGTGTATTTGTGTCTGTCTCTGTGTCTGTCTGTCTTAGTCTCTTCCTGCTCTGCCTCTATCTCTGCCTCATCTTGTTTTCTGTCTAAGCCACATTCTCTCTGACTGCAAACATGAAAGAAGCCTGTGCAGAGAGGCAAGCCTCACCCCAGTCCCCAGCCTAACTTCTTAGCAGGAAGACATTCCTTTAGCTCTTTTCGGCAGTGTTTTATGATAGGCCAGGCAAACAATCCTTATGGTCTGCATATGGGGCCATTTCTATACCTACCTCTATCATGGAGACCAGAAAATTCTGTGTGGTGAATGGTGCTTCCAAGGCCACGACACCTAGCCCCAAGCTGAGGTGATTGTGGCTAGAATGGGCTGGAACATCGAAGCCATTAGTGCTTGCTGTGTTATTGGAAGTTCAGTTGTGCTGGAATACAGAGGATCTTAATGCAGCCTTTCTCTATGGTTCCCACTTCTCCTGATGGTGGATAGGAACCCCTAGGGAACCGAGTCAATGTCCAGACTTAAGTGTAGCTGCATTCCTCCTCCAGACCTTGCCACATGCTGTTGTCCAGAGCCCAGCACATAGCCTCCAAATAGTGTGCCATTGCTGCTGTTAAGAAGCACTTGGTGTCTGTCCAAGGACAGCTGGAGTGACTCTAGCAGAGGGGGGAGGGAGGTTGTCCTGAATGTTGCAGAGATGGTCAAGTGCACCCAAAACAATGATTGGGCTGAAAGGGAGAGTTGGAGATTTAAACACCAATCATCCGGTACTTAGAACATGGTTCAATGTCTTCACCATGGCAACAGGGCTCACCTCCTTCTCCATCTCACACCTTCTCTTTCTCTTGGCAACTGTGCTACAATAGCCCCACATACCCTTGCATTTTTCCTCAGGCCAGGACATTCTGCCTCAGGCCCTTTGCATCAGCTTGTCCTCTCTTCCAGAGTGATTTGCTTTGCTAAATCTCTCCCATTTTTCTGATTGTCAAGGCACTTCTTGGATCATTCATTTGGAAGCAGCTTGTCCCTCCAGTCTAGATGCTCTCTCCTTTGCTTCTTGAATAACACTTAACGGGAAATAAAACAGCCTTATTTTGAAATTATACTATTATGACTATTATTTTTTTTTTGTGCTGGGGATTGAACTCGGAGTCTCACACTGAGATACACCCTCATTCCCATACTGCTTAGTAATTTGTCTCTTCTTAGAATCCAAGATGTGAAGGGGTGTGCCTGTGATTCTCTCTGTGTCCCCAGGGCCTAAGCAGGATCTATAGGTCATAGTTCTGCCCCTGACGTGGACATTAGCTTTGTGCTCATTGGGAAACAACCCATTGCCGATCTGGTGATCTCCTGCCTTGTTATGCCAACCTCTTCCTTCTGTGACACGCATGTGCTGCACCCCTCCCATCAGTCCCTGCTTCATGGTTGTTGGATGGATAAATGGATGGACAGAACTGCAAAGTTCCAAAGCATCTGAGAACAAAATAAACTTGTGTGTTGAACAGATACGAGGCTGCAAACCTGAGAGCTCCGAGGTACCTGCTCATCCGCATGGATCTCATCCACCTGCCTCTCTGTCCACGCATCTATAATAGGGCCTCATATCTAGTAGTTGCACAATGACTGGCAGGACTTTGAGCCTATTCCTAACAGTCCCAGTTCTTTTCCAGCACCATGAGGGGTTCCTCTCCAGGATGTCAGGGTCGAGTACAGGTTAGCTCAGGTTTGGGAATTCCCACCTGACCCATCTGGGCCTTTCTTTGGAGTGGTACTGTTGCCTTCTCAAACACAGGGCAAATGTGGAGGAAACTCAGGAGAAGCAGTAGGAGCCATGGGCAGAGGGGAGCAAGGGCAAGTTGATGAGCTGTCCTGTATGGGCCAAAGGCCCAGACTCACAGGGAACTTCCTAGCCAGGAGAAACCGTACTATTTTGCTACCCAATCACAAAGCAGAAAAGAACTCTTCTTGTGGTTGAGTGGAGGGTGGGCATGGGATCAGGTCAGAATCTGGAGACTGGGATGGTGACATCATAAGGAATTCAGAGACAAGGTGGCGGAGAGTAGAGGCGGGAACTGTCCAATTTGTGCTCTGGCACTGGGAGAGATGATCTGTCCATCTCTCCCAGGAGAAAACCAGGAGCAAGAATGTTAAGGGGAAAGGGTGTTTGAGGCTCAGTTGCGAGGTTGTCTGAGGAGCTGGTCAAAGCGCAGGCGCATCTGGGTGTAGAACAAGCAGCTGGAACCGGAGGCAACACCACCAGGGGAGGTGCAATCTTCAGGCGCCTGCTTCCTTCCCTGGCAACTGAGTTCAGCATCACCAGAGAGACAGGAACATCATGAGGAACTCAGTGTCTGAGAGACGCGTGAAGGCTGGGGAACACTGCTGTCTCTTCTCGCTCTCCCCACTGTTTCCCTTTCCCTCTCCAGCTTGGGCTTTTTCGGCATTAGTTTCTGTGAAACACTGAGTCACCTGCCGCCCCCCTTCCCCGGTAAATCGAGCACATCCAAAATTAGGAAGGGAGGGTCGACTCTATGTAAGGGTTGGTGGGGAAGTACTCTTGTCGAGACTTGGTTCTCACAGATGGCCTTGAGGTTCAGGCGTCAGTATCTCCTGAGCACTTTCTGTGTGACTCTCCCAACTTCTCGTGCACCCGGGGAAGTAGATCTCATTGTCTCTGCTGGGAGAAGAAAGCAAGGATCACCAAAGTTAAGTAGGGAATTCAGAGTCTTATGACCCAGAATATGGTTCAGGACGAGGCTGTCACATCTAAGGCCGCCCTCCTATCCCCAAGTCTCTAGTTTGTCTGGATCCGCAGTGTCCCACCTCTCTTACAAACGTGGCCAGGGCTGGAGCCCCAGAGGTGGCCGGGAAGAGGCTCCTGATGTTGGGGAGATGGAGCTATTTCCCAAACTCGGGACAAGGGTGTGACACTGGGGCCTCTCTCGGACCTGTGTGTAGTCTCTGGATTCGGAGAACGACGCGGAGAGTCACGGCGCCAGGGCACAGGTGGGAGGGCGCGCGAGCGGCAGAGCGCGACTGATAGGGGCGGGCGCGCGGGACCTGGCAGCCACCACAGAGATCGTCCGGTGCCCGCGGCTCGGGCCCCCGCCCCCTTTGGCGGCCGCTCTAAGCTTCTCCGACTGGGAACCAGGAGCAGCCGCAGCGGCCCCCCGACTCTCTACCGCCACAGAATCGCAGACCAGGCGACCCGCAGGCACTGGTCGCTTCCTGCCCCATCGCGGGAACCAGAGGCGCGCGAGGCTGTCACCACTCCGGAATCCCGTACAGCGCAGGGTGAGCGACCCTCGGGTCTGGGAACGGTCAGTTGCAGGGCCCTGAGCACCCTCTGGGGTGCCAGATGGGGCTTCTAGGGGGGTGCAGGGTCGAAGTTGGGTCGATTTGCCAGTGCTACCCAGAAGGACATGCTGCCGCCTGGGCGCAATGGCACCGCGCATCGGGTGCGATTGGGGCTGCTGCGGCAGCTGGCGCAGGTGGGCGCCCCAGGGGACTCAGCGGCCCAGCTGGGACCCGCGCAGGTGGTTACCGCCGGCCTCCTGACTCTCCTCATAGTCTGGACCTTGCTTGGCAATGTGCTAGTGTGTGCAGCCATCGTACGCAGCCGCCACCTGCGCGCCAAGATGACCAACATCTTCATCGTATCCTTAGCAGTCTCAGATCTCTTCGTGGCATTGCTGGTCATGCCCTGGAAGGCCGTGGCTGAGGTGGCTGGGTACTGGCCCTTTGGGGCTTTTTGCGATGTCTGGGTGGCCTTTGACATCATGTGTTCCACTGCCTCCATCCTGAATCTGTGTATCATCAGTGTAGACCGCTACTGGGCTATCTCCAGGCCCTTCCGCTACGAGCGCAAGATGACCCAGCGCGTAGCCCTGGTCATGGTGGGCCTGGTTTGGGCCTTGTCCATCCTCATTTCCTTCATTCCGGTCCAACTCAATTGGCACAGAGACAAGGCAGGCTCCCAGGGCCGAGAGGGCCTACTGTCCAATGGGACGCCCTGGGAGGAAGGCTGGGCGGAGAACTGTGACTCCAGCCTGAACCGAACTTACGCCATCTCCTCCTCGCTCATTAGCTTCTACATCCCGGTGGCCATCATGATCGTGACCTACACGCGCATCTACCGCATTGCCCAGGTGCAGATCCGCCGGATCTCCTCCCTGGAGAGGGCAGCTGAGCATGCTCAGAGCTGTCGGAGTCGCGGGGCCTGCGAATCTGACCCCAGCCTGCGAGCATCCATCAAGAAGGAGACCAAGGTTTTCAAGACACTGTCAGTGATCATGGGGGTCTTCGTGTGTTGTTGGTTACCTTTCTTTATCCTTAACTGCATGATTCCTTTCTGCAGCAGTGGGGATGGCCAGGGCCCAAGGACTGGCTTCCATTGTGTCAGTGAGACCACCTTTGACATATTCGTCTGGTTTGGCTGGGCCAACTCCTCTCTCAACCCCATCATCTATGCCTTCAACGCTGACTTCCGGAAGGTGTTTGCCCAGTTGCTGGGGTGCAACCACCTCTGCTTCCGGACCCCCGTGCAGACTGTGAACATCAGTAATGAACTCATCTCCTACAATCAAGACACCGTCTTCCATAAGGAGATCGCTGCTACCTATGTCCACATGATCCCCAATGCGGTGTCCTCTGCAGACAGGGAGGTGGATGAGGAAGAGGAGGGGCCTTTTGATCACATGTCCCAAATCTCTCCAACCACCCCAGACGGTGAACCGGCTGCCCACTCTGTCTGGGAGCTTAACTGTGAGGAGGAGGAGGTTTCCTTAGGCAAAATCTCACCTCTCACCCCCAACTGTTTCCATAAAACTGCTTAGAAATATCCTCATGAGAATATACAATTGCAGCCATATTAGCAGGCATGCACACACACACACACACACACACGCACGCACGCACACACACACACACTCTCCCAGTGTGCATATGCTTTTTGTAGGCCAGCTGCATAGAAACCAAACGATTCTTAGCTGAGAAAATTAGCCAAGGCTGTTGTTGTAATAACCTCAGATATTCTGAGTTTATTCAGAAAAGTATTCCCATTAGGGAAGAGAGAAAGAACCCTGGTCCTTTAAGAGCACACGTCAGCTTAACCTTCCTGACATAGGCTTGTTCTGTGATTTGTGCCTGGGTTGCTTTTTAAATGACAGCTTTCTGAAGGGCAGTAGTTGGGGTGCACTGTGACTTACCAGAGACTTAGAGTCTGTAGCCCCGTGCTTTGTTTAGCTTAGGTTGGGGCCCCTTTCTGGGCCTGGGAGGTCTTCCTAATTTGTTCTGGTTTTTAATGAGGTCACAGGTCATGTGCTGGCAGGTGGGGGGAGTCCCCTTCGTGTTGTGGGTTGGTTCAGTGTTGCTCCTGGCGGAACCCCAGTGAGGGCTGCTCCCGGCAAAGCCTCAGCGTGCTCTTGAAAGACAGCTAGATTTTGGAGCACACTGTCTTTTGCTGAGCAGCGAGCTTTAGGGAACACACCAGACAAGGGGCCTTGAGGACGTGCTGATTTCTCAGCTTTCTTTCAATCAGGCAGTCACACCTCCAGGGCACACTGAAAGCTAGCTTCACCTCCACAGTGTTAGATTCAGACTTCTCAAGCCTGATGCTCCGTTAAATCTTATCTCTTGGACCCTTCTTCTAGGGTCGCAGGAGGCAACGGTCCTAGTCGCGAGACAAAGGCTCTCACTTCATTAAAAGGGCCACCTAGAACAACAGCCCTGTCACCTCCACCTCTGGACTGCTTCAGACTGACATGCGTTCTGCAAACCACGTTTTCTAGGGTCTTTTAGATGCGATATGTTTCAATATGCTTCAACACCTAAATCCTGCTTGGAAGCAGATGATTTTGTTTGCAGCCAGTAGCGAAAGAAATGACTTCAACCTACATGCAGAAGCCAGGGGTGAAAAGTGACCAGATGCACGCATAGGGCGAGGGACTCACAAGGGAGCCCACCTGTCTGCCTTTCCTTCTCTGTGCCGAGCACAGCAAAGGGTACTTTATTCTGAAATGATTTCATTTGCACAGATGTAAAAATACAACAAAAACAAATGAACTGTGCATACACTCCCCTGCTTCAAAGACGGCTTCTCAAGGACAGTTCAATCAATCTTGGTTTCCTTACAGACCATTGTGTTGTGAGTTGTCTGAACAGCCGTGTCTTGTTTCTTGTAAAACGCGCAGTGCCTGCCACATCGTGTTTAATAAACGCTTGTTGAATGGATCTTTTTCTGAGCAGTGAGGCTGAGAGAAAGCTTCACTCTGAGTCCTATGGTTTTTGTCAAACTGATACTGGGACCTGAGGACTGTGTTCAGGTTTTGACTCCTTGCAAACCCATAGCTAAGCAGCTCCCTGAGGGCACAGGCAGGGGCTGGGAAGCGTGCACTGTGTCAGAATTGTGGAGGTGGTTGCATGATCCCGAGTAAGTCCATGGCCCTCTGGTACTCAGTTTCTGGGTGCACTTATAAACGGGAGGACTTGATGACAAACTTTTTGGGTTTTTTTCCCCTTCTCTCATACATTACATCCCAACCACAGCTTCCACTCCCTCCACTTCTCCCAGCCTACCCCACCTCCCCTCTCCCTCAGATCCAGTTCAGTTTCCCTTCAGAAAAAAGCAGGCCTTCCAGGGGTTATCAACCAAATTTAGCATAGCAAGTTCCAACAGGACTAGATACAACTCCTCATATCAAGACTGGACAAGACAACCCAGTATGAGAAAAAGGGTCCCAAGAGCAGGTGAAAGAGTCAGAGACAGCCCAATTCCCACTGTTAGGAGTCCCACAGGAGCACCAAGCTACACAACCATAACGTATATGCGGAGGACCCAGGGCAGACCATTGCAGGGTCTGTGATCATCCCTTCAGCCTCTGTGAGTTGATTCTGTGGGCCATGTTTGTGGTGTCCTGGACATCTCTGGTTCCTACAATCCTCCCTCACCTCTCCTCTAGGCCTCCCTGATCTCTGACAAATGGCTGGAACACTAACTTTCCAATTGCATTTCATGTTGCGGATGATCAAAGGATGAAAAACAGAGCACACTGGGGTTTGATACTCATTTTCCCTGTCCGGCTCTGGAAAGCTTTTTCTGAGCACTCTGAATCCCAAGTGTGTGGATATCATTTCCCAACGTCTTTGACTCTGAGGATCCTCATTGACTTAGATTCCTATTTCTCTCTCTGTCTCTCTCTTTCTCTCTTCAGTCCTCTATCACAGGACCAGAGTTTGAGAAACTTGAACAATTAGAAGCTAAAAGACAGATATTTTGGCCTATAGATCAGGTTGTGGTAAGCCAACAGGGGTGTGGGGGGGGGGGAAGCAAATGTCTCAGTTTAAAGGGGTCCGTGTTATGGAAAGCACATCTTTTGAGGACCGTGAAGCAACCTCTCTAAGACATCATTCCTCCTATGCACTATTTCCATATTACGTGAAGCCCTGTCTTACACACCGGGAACACAGTCATCTGTCAGATTCTCTGTTGTCTTGGAGCCTAGTATTAGTGGGCTCAGGGAAGTTCATATTGCATTGCCTTGGACCATTCCACCCAAGATCTTCATCAGGCGGTGGTAATGGCTGCAACAAACAAGAAAAAGAAAAAGCTGTGGCTACATTTGGGGTTCTAAGGGGAGGTATCTCTGAAGAGGAAGAGCTGTCGGGGCAGAGGGAATGGCAGGTGGCAGAGTCTGGAAAAGGACTGTGCTCTGTCAGGCTAGAGAAGAGAAAGGAGGCTGGTGTAGTTTAGAGATCATGGATGAGAGGGTGTGTGCCAGTGTCTGCAGCAACCATAGCCATCGTGACTACAGCAGGGTCCCATGGTTGCATGAACTTTGTGACTTTCATATTCCAGAGAGTGTAGTTAGGCCATTTTACAGATGTAGATGTGAACGCATTAGTAGGTGAAGCAGCCTGTCTGTGCTCACATAGCTTATGAATATGAATCCAGGCAGCCTGGCCAAGGGGTCTTTTTTATGTTTATTTATTTATTATGTATACAATATTCTATCTGTGTGTATGTCTGCAGGACAGAAGAGGGCACCAGATCTCATTACAGATGGTTGTGAGCCACCATGTGGTTGCTGGGAATTGAACTCAGGACCTTTGGAAGAGTAGGCAATGCTCTTAACCGCTGAGCTATCTCTCCAGCCCCCCAAGGGGTCTTTAATCTTTTGTGTGTGTGTGTGTGTGTGTGTGTGTGTGTGTGTTTGTGGTGTGTTTATGTACATGTGTGTTCAGGGGTAATCATCTCTCTGTTTGGGGGCCAGAAACTGACATTGTTGGGATGTCTTCTTCAATTGCTTCTGCTAATTTTCAGCTGGAGAAGGTTTCTCATTAAAAATAAGGAGCTGATTTGACTGGTTTGACTAGTGAGATCCCCAGATCCTCCTGTTGCAGATACTCATTGATTTTATGTGGGCATTGGGAATTCAGTCTAATCTAATCTAACTCAGGTCCTCAGTCCTGCAGAGCAAGCACTTGGCCCACAGAGCCATCTTTCTGTTCCCAGGCTCTTCACTGTCCTTCATGGGAAGAGGGGCTTCTGGGAAGCTCAGAATATTCAGCGCTCAGCTCCCTGGATCATTTACTCATATTAGCAGATCATTCCAGTGGGCAGACCATCCCTGTGGACCTGCTCTAAGCTGAAAAGAGAGGCTATGAGAGCAGTGGATGAACAACCCTTGGGCTAAGACTAAGGCTTCCCATGGATGGCTTTCCTGGACTCTCATTTGGCTTTCTCAATCCACCTACATATTACAATTTCCCCATTTTACAGATGAGGACACTGAGGCACCGAGACCTTCAGTGGTTTATCCAGGGTCATATGACAAGTAAGTGGTGGATCCAGAGTTTATATCTGGTTTTCAGTTGGGGGTCTTTTTCCTCTCACTGGCAGCAGTAGGATATGAAGAGTCATTTTCCCCAGAAGCTCTCCTTTTCAGCTTCTTAAGGAGACCCAAGCAAAGGGGCACTCTTTCACACAGATAGTCCTGTGGCCTGGTCTAGGGGTAAATTCCTCTCCATGTTGGCTCTCTGAGCTCTTCAAAGGGTCCTGTGCAGTGGAATAATCCTTCTGCATACTGTTGATCACATGTCACTATGATTGGTTTAAAATAAAGCTGACTGTCCAATAGCTGAACAAGATAAAGTTAGGTGGGGAAGTCAAACTGAGAAAGATAGGATGAGGAAGGGCAGAGTCAGAGGAGTTGCCAGAAAGATGGAGAAAGAGTCAGACACACAAAATGGGATAGAGGTAGAAGCCACAAGCCTCAGGGCAGTACTCGGATTAATAGAAATGGGTTAAGTTGTAAGAGCTAGTTAGTAATAAGCCTGAGCTATTGGATGAGAATTTACAATTTATATTAAGTCTCTGAGTCAGTTATTTGGGAAGTGACTGTCAGTTATTTGGGAGCAGGAGATTGGGACACTAAAATTGTGCCTACTCCTGTAACAGTGTGTTGACAGAGGTTTCCCACGAGATCTCCACATCAATTTACTGTGTAGTGACAATTCCGAAACAGCACAGGGTTACACTTTCATTGGGTGTGATTCAGATTGGTGTGCCTTGGTCCTACCTTGTAGGGTCCTGCTGCAATGTTACATGGGCTCTGATAGTCGACAACTGTCTGTGAACTCTCAGGTCTCTTATTAACTTGAGTTATTCCTAGACATTCTGCTCCATAAGAGAATTGGAGGGCAGGGGAGATAGCTCAGTCAACAGAGTACTTGCTGTGACAGCATGAGGTGTTTTAACCTAGTGCCTGATTCAAAGCTGGAAGGGGTAGGGTGCTTCTGTAACCTCAGCTCTGGAGTGGGTGGAGAGAGGTGCCTGAGACTCACTGTATAGGCAGTCTAATGGAATCAGTGAGTTCCAGGGCAGTGAATGCCTCAAAACTTAAGGTGAAGAGAAATTGAGGAAGACACCCAGCATTGACCTCTGGCTTCCACACACATGTAAGTGTACCAGTATGTACACATATACAGCCAGCCCACATATACAGCCATGAACATATATACACAATACAACACCATATACATATGCATGTATACACACAAACATGCACACATGCACGCATGCGCACGCGCGCACACACACACACACAAACACGAGAATCTGATTAGTCAGTTTTTGTAGTTGATGATGTAAATAAGCAAATCAGCTCAGATCTTACTGCCAAGTGTCCAGGAAGCCCTCACTGATGGAGAATTCTGGGGGTACTTTTCCTCAAGAGTAAACCATTCAGTAGGTGAAGATAGAACCATTTGTCTCTGACTCCTAGATTTCTCATTTGTAAAAAGCAAAGCAAGCAAACAAACAAAGAAACAAAAAAGCCAAGCACATAGCAAGTATCTAATAAATATATGTGTATAAATGGACTGGTGAAGAAACAACAACAAGAAGCCCACAAAAATGTTTGTCAAGGATCATCGATAAAGGGAGAAAGCTATGGCAGCCATTCTCTGATGGTCACATGATTGCATACTGGATATCTGGGAGGTGTTAGAGTTCGTATCCCAAATGCCATATAGCCTCACGTATTGGGGTCCTGGGAAGTGGTGGAAACTTTAGCATATGGAGCCTCATTGGAGGAATCGGGTCATAGGGAGTGTGCTGTGAAGGGTGGATGTGCTGGGACTCTGGATCCCTCCTCTTTCTTCACTTCCCCACTTCCATGAAGTGAGCATCTCTGTTGGACACCATGCTCTCACCATGATGACTTGCTTTGCCATATGTTCAAAGTGTTGTGGCTGAGAGACCACGCACTCAAACCTCTAAACCATGAGCCCAATCAACCATTTTTCTATTTTGATTTATGTATTTTTAGTGGCTGTGTGTGTGCTGTGCATGCATGCATGCATGTGTGTGTTCATGCATTTGGATATCAGAAGACAAATTCAGGGGTTCAGCTACCATTTCCTTTAAGACAGATTCTCACTGGCCTGGAGTTCACCAGTTAGTCTAGGCTGGCCAGGGAGCCCCAGAGAGCCTTCTCTTCTCTGCCTTCCAGTGCTAGGATTACAAGCATGTGCCACCATGCCCGCCTATCTTACATGAATTCAGGGATCAAACTCAGGCCCTCATCCTTATGAGGCAAGCAGTTCACAGACTGGGCCATCAACGTAACCCACAGTCATTCGTCTTTGAAATTGTTTGCTTCTGAGCAGACTGATTGAGCTTATGTATCTA